AAAAGGGGACCCAAGCATAAGGGACGCCCACCTTATGAAGAGTTGCTTGTGAATATGTCAAGTGCGTTCAAACTTGAAAACGTTTGCTTATTCGATGGAGTTGGCTTATGATAATAGATCTACTGAAGTCAGCTTTGAACCAGGAGGCAAGGTGTGGTTGTATAATCCCAGGAAGACCAAAGGGAAGTCTCCTAAGTTGTCTTCTCCATGGGAAGGCCCATATGACATAGTGGATCGTCTCTCAGACGTGACTTTCCGGATAAAAATGTGGTCGGCGAGGTAAACCAAAAGTGGTGCATGCCAACAGGCTTTGGCATTATCACGGTCCAGGATATTTCAGTTGGGACGAAGTGGACAACAGAACAAAAGACGCTGCTGAAGACGTGCCACCTGAAGAGGCCACCGTCGAAGAGGAAACTCTACTCAGTTTTGAGAAGGGAAACATCGGTAACATCATCAGTGGTATTAACTTCATCAAGAGCTTCATCCATAGGACATTTACTGATGAAGCAGATGAACCCCACATGAAGCAGAAGCCAACGAGACGGAGACCAGTACGGAAGAAGATACGTACCGTAAAATTAAGAGACTTTGTTGAATTGTAATTTTGTGTTTGTAATTCTGTACATTTAATTAAGTTATTGTTAATTGTTATTGGTTTATTGTATGTGGCTGTTGTTCGGGACGAACAATACTAAGGAGGGGGCAGTGTTGCGTCGACGAGGTCACGTGACTGGTGTGGTGCCACCTATTTTCTAGAAGTATCTTGTTCCCTCGTGAATGCCCTAGCATTTACTAGATATATATTTGTCTGGTATATAAAAGAGGGTGACAACGTGACGGAATAGTAATGTGTGTGTAGGTAATGAGTAATTGAACTGCAGTCAGAGAGAGACGTATTGTTGAAGTTAAGGTTCGTTGATATAGCGTTTGTTTTAGCGCGATTGTTGAAAACAAGTGTATCGTAAAGTCATGTTCGGAAAGAATAAACCAGTTTTATTAAGTAAATACTTGTGTCGCTAAAGTTTCGTCGGAACGAAGTTACGGGAAGTTAATTAACAAACGGGAACGTAAAAATATTATGAAAGATGGGCCCATTTACTTTCTGATCTTTGATTGAGTCTATCAACAACAACAAAATAGACAGTACAAAAATGCACAACAATCTTTATTAAGATAAACACAAACGATATAAAATATACTGATACAAACTATACGAGGGCAAGAGTCTTTATGGATGTATTGAATCAGTGAAGAATGTGAAAAAGAACCTTTAATGTTTCTCTCAACTTCCAATGTGAGCCTCTCTGTAAGCTACACAAAGAGGAAGTTAAAATAAATTTAAAACAATCCACTATGTTAAACTAAACATACCAAAATAACACAAGAGCTAAATGAAATCTTCACAAATTCTCATCAAATCTGTGTGAAAACTCTAACGCTAAAATGTCGACAAAATCTATATTTCAATAATTTCCAAAACAGATCTGAATCTTAGTAAAAAAAATTTTTTTCGCATTTTTCTCATCATGCTAAAATTTGAAGTTTGACATACACGATGGACATAATACAGATAGCCATCCTGTTTCTGTGCAGCTTTGCACTAAAACAACCACACTTTCTTTATTTAAATTATTACTAAAGTGTATTATTTACGAAGTTTTGTTTTCATATTTGCCTTAGATTTTAATATTTTTGATTTCAAAATTAATTCATTTATATTAGTTTGATTGTTCGAAAATCATGGTAGAACTCTGGAATTCGATTATGGTTGTTTTAGAGCAAGCTAAGTTGGGCTATCTCCTGTGTCGACCGTGGGGATTCTAACTCCGTATTTTAGCACTGTAAGTGTGTAAACTTACCACTGTCATGAGGCCCCATATCGCGAAGCTTGTAACCTTTGGGAGCGCCGGTTAGCCAGGTGGTAGAGTTTTGGATTTTGGAGCTGGTGACTTAGTTCGAATCCGTGAGATACCACAATATATTATCATTCCTTTCAGCCGTGGGTGCATAATAAGAGTGACAGTCAACCCCTTAGTGTAGATTGTGGGTGGTAGTGTGCAGCTCACCGATTAATTGTGTTCTCTCTGATCAGTAATTTAAAATTAGAGACAGTAGCAATCTTAGTAACTTTGCCGTAAATACAAATTCTTATTCCTTTCCATTTCTTCCCCGTTCCTGTGGCCTCCCAGTGGCACAGCGCTAAATCTGAAGGCTTAAAACGCTAAAAATCTGGTTTTGATACCCGTGATTGGCACAGCACAGGTTGTCAGTTGTGTAGCTTTGCGCTTAACTACAAACAATCAAACCATTCCTATGTTATAAACATAAACACCTATCTTAATATATCAGAAATTTAGTAAAAAATTGACTAACTCTAGGTAAGTTTACGGACTTAGAACACTAAAATAAGGGGTTAGACTTCCTGCGGTGGACAGAACGCAGATATCCTGTTATATAGCTTTGCACGAAAAAAAAACACAACAACAAACAATACTAACTGCCCCCAATGGCACAGCGGTATGATTGCGGACTTATACCACTAGAAACCGTGTTTCGATACCCATGGTGGGCAGAGCACAGATAGCCATTGTGTAGCTTTGCGCTTAACTTCAAACAAACAATACTACCTCTATGTCTATGTGCTCTCAGCTTATTCATATTCGCCTCCTAGTGGCTAAACAGTAAATCATATGTAACAATCCAGTAATCAACAAAACCGGTCATGATATGGGGGTTCCACGAGTAGCTGTGCTTTTATTTATCGTATTTATTGCGATTTCTTCACTTTTTGCAAGATTTCAAGATCTTGTATACGTTAAAAATTATGACAATTTTGTTAATACTCTAAAACAGCGAGGCATTGCCAACAGTAATGTTCTTATCCCAGATGGAAAACTTCATCATTTAATGTGGTTTCTGCAGGTGAGTTCAGCGTCGTAGTTTAAAAAACCTTAATGATAACAACATAACTTTAGCTATAATAACTTAATGTAGTTTAAGTTAATATACTGATGCTAACTGACAGTTAAAAAAAAAATGCAGACTGTAGTAGTATAATGGTAGTAGTACCAGTACTAATAATATATTGATTCAGGACATATTATTCTTTATTAATATTTCGTGATTTCCATTGTTAAAGATACCCAGCGTTGCTGCAATGTGCATACTATTCTAAATAGCACGGACAATACATATCTAACTTGGCTCCAGAAAAAATGCCTTTCTCCCTTTTTTTTTTGGGGGGGGGGGGATCTCTTAAATCCTAGTAGTCATGTGTACCTCAAGAAATGTACAAATTTCAGGGTTACCCACATGACCAATTATCCAAACTCTCAATTCTTTCATCAGAAGGTGAAACAGTTACAAAAAACACAATATTCCATAGTAATTAAGAGTTGTTACAGCTTCTGTATGAGTATAACGTAACACGATTGCTTAAACTGTAACTTAAAGAGTGAGGGAAAAAATAACAATATGAGAATGTAAAATCAGAGCTTTAACTAACTAAGAGAATGTTAACAACAGCCAAAAGTTCAGCAACGAAATTACCAGTGTGATTTGTGAGACAATAAGTTGAAATTTTAGACATAAGTATAGCACAAGCTGTATATCCAGTGAAAAAGTCTTATGAACCACCTGTATATATATATTCTCAAGTAAGAACAATAATTTGCTTAGAACCCATGAAGTAAGTGAGACCTCATATAACTAAAGGTCCTAACAAGAAGAAAATTAAAGAAAGAAGAAGAAAAATATGCCAGCACATATGAGAGAAATAAGATAAAGATTATAGTGATAAAGATGGGAAAGTTTATCAAGAAATGAAAGAACAAAAGTGTTAGAATGTTGGACATATTTAATTCCATGTTGACGTGGAAAATACAGAAGCTAAAATTTGTAAAGCAGAGGAAGGAGTACATGCCATAGTTCCCAGCCAACTATGTAAGTCCTTATTTTCAAAGACATCTTGTTTCTGAAGCACATCTAAAGTTACTGAATCTTAGAGTGCAGCCATGATCCAATTTGGAACAAATTAAAACATGGTATAATAACATAAGAGTATGTTGGCCACTCTCCATGATGTAGCAAAGACAGCCATAATAAAATTAATAAGTTTCAGACAAGTTTCAATTACAGAGAGAATGTGGAGTTTCTGAGCCCAATGCTTTCTGCCACTAAGGAAATATCCATTTTCTTAATATGAAGTTTCAATATGTCAACATGTTTGATATGTCTAATATACATATCATTATGTTTCAGTGCTGAGAAAGAAAATCCATATGGAGCAGTCCAGGTTTGCATTAAGACCAAAGTCTTTTGAAGAATGTGGCATGCAAAACAAAGATTACTTCTTTGTCTCTAAATGGAAATATCATCTGCAAAAATAACACCATTATCATCTCTCCTGAAACACTGTATAAAATCACAAAGCATAACATTAAATGGTGTGTGACTTGGATCCTTGTGGAATCTCTCTAGAACTTGCTATCATCAAAGGGCAACTAGTATACCTTGTTAATTACCTATCTTGATAAAACAGTATTAGCTTAAATTTATTAAATTTAAGAACTTACAGTATCAGAATTAGTTTAGGGCTTTAGTCTTGCTGATTGATTTTTAATTAAAATTGTATTTTGAGTATAAGAACATGGAATTGTATCTTTTTAGAGTGGTTATTAATAGTCACTTGAGTTACTGATAGTTTCATCTTTTTTTTTGTATGTTTATTGGTAACAAATCTGCACTAGGGTCATAGACTGAATAGTTATTATTAAATGTAACCAGTTTTCTCAGAAATATAATTTATTATTAGTATTTGAAAATTGTCTTAGTTGTGAGTTGACACACTTATTTGTTTCTTTCCTGTGATTCTCTTAAGCTATATCATTAATTTGTAAACACTCAAAAAGTTTGTATGATGAAAAATAACACTGACTTTCAAGAAATTAATTAAGCATTAGTTGTATGTAAATAGTAAGTGTCACAGGATGTGACAAATAAATTAAAAACTTATACATCTATGTAATCCTTACAAATAAAATAACTATGAAATAGTTTTTGCTATAGTAATTATCATTTTGATTTATTATTTCTTATTTGAAACTAAACACAATGTAAAATTTTTCTCATCTTAAATGTTCTAATAAACTTGTCAGTAAAACTGATCAAAAGAATAAGGTTTAAGTGTTAAATTAAAAAAAATTCAAATTGCACTGTCAAACTTAAATAATCATGGGAAAGTAAGGATTATATACATGTATAAAACCATATCAAATATCCATCTAAGATTAGTACAGTTTTATATGAAAAGACCAAATGCAGGTACTTTATCACTATAACATAACTAATTTAATCTTTGCCGCTCAGGAGGGTGGTTTTGCTTTCACACCTACTTCTCCTCATCTGTCATACATATTTGCACTTGGATCTGGATTGTCTCCTATGCCTGGTTCATGCCTTATGGTGTTATGTGAGCCACACAGCCCCTTTCCATGGCTCCTGGTCCACTTTCTTTATCCACAGGGATCAAAATATTACATTCCTGCCTTTCTGAGGAATTGAACTTTGCTTGAGGAATTTAATGTTTTTTTGTTGGCTTTCCCGATTGGGCACGCATGGTCTATCCATATTCCTTTAGTTATGACTAATAAAAGTGAACATATTGCATGGATTAAATAAAAAAAACATTTTATGAGGAAATGAAACTTTGCTCAAGGGAATGTAATCTTCATGATAGCTTTTCCTTGTGTGAATTGAATTTTATTTCATTATTTCTAACTCTGATCCACAGGAGACTGTCTATTTCATGTGACCTTTCTCCCATTACCCTAACCGGTTGGGCTCGTCAAATCATTTGTATTGCATATTCTTCCTTATCTCCCAAATCCTGTCAACTCTTCTGGTCTCTTCTTATCGTCACCTCACCATTTCCTTAGCTGCTCATTTCTATCAGCCATTAGAGGAAATAATCCAGGCTGGCATGTGGCTCACTCCCCACACATTTGTGGTGCACTATTTACACCACCTGGCAGTTTCCTTTTTGGCCGGATATTGTCTTCCCCCTGTTGCTGTTCTGCACACATCAGTACAACTGTGAATTGGTAAGTTTTCTTTTCTCATTTTTGCTCTGTGGTGAGTGGTACTTGTCCAGGTATACTTTATTCAAAATCATCACTGTTAGACCAAACGGGTCTTTAATGATCACTTTTGAGATGAGGTGTTCCACAAGACTGCTCAGAGGTTCATCCTTGCACATTTTGCTTCATAAATATGTTTGCACCTGACCGTACACTCATGACTAATATGAGTAAAGTAGAAGAGGATTTATGCCCATCCCTTCCACTCGTTCATTGAATAAATCAGGAATGGTCTGCTTTGCTTTATGAAATAGGGTTTCATGGTCACTCATTGCACTTTGTATGGTGAGGCATTTCTCCAGACCCTCCACCTTCTTCCAGTGGGGTACAAAATTCCTTACCACTTAACAACTCCTAACTGCTGGGGTGGTGGACCATGGAGGAGGCATCCTCCTCAGTATTCTCTATTTCCTGCAGTTGAGAGTAGGTTGGTGGTGTTCTGTCAGTGTAGAAGGTGTGACTATTCTCCTGCTGTGGGTCTGTTTTTATATGCCAGATACCGATTGGTCTGGACTGGATTTTTCCATTACTTTTGCATTAAAGTCTTGGGTGTTGCGGGTTGTTGGAGGATGCTACTGCTTTATAAAAAGATATGGATTATTTGATGAGTTGGGCAAATAAATGACAGCTGACATTTAATTACAGTAAATGCAAAGTAATGCATGTATGATATCACAATTTGAATTACGAATATGATTTTGATGGGATAACCTTGACATTGTTATGGAAGAAAAATATCTTAGTTTTCTGGTTCATTAATCTCTTAAACCATTCGAGCAATGTGCTGTTGTTAGTGGCAGAGCAAACAGGATTTTAGGTTGTATCTACAGAAATACTGAATACAAGTCTAAAGATAAGTATAATGCCATTGCATAGTTCATTGGTTAGGCCACGTTTGGAGTACTCTGTACAGACTTGAACCAACCTCTTACTTTAGAAAGGACATTGAACTGTTGAAAAGGATTCAGAGGAGGGCTACTAGGATGGTACCTGGGGTGGAAAGGTTGTTATGCAAGGATAGGTTAAAATCTCTATATTTGTATTCTCTTGATTTGATGGAGGTGTTTAAGACTGTTAAGGGATTTGGTATTGTTGATGCATTATATTTTTTCATATTTGATGGTGAAAATGGTAAAACTAGGGAACACATATAAATTTTGGCAGGGTAGAAGACCTCTTCAGCTACAATAACTTTATTTTTCTAACATGTTGGTTGGCCTTTTGAACGGGTTGCCTTTGAAATTGGTGGATTAAGATAATTTAAGGGAAAGCTTGATAAGTATTTGAATGATAATATTTGGCTTTGAGTTTTTGGTGTTTGATTTAGTGGATAGGATGTCCAAGATGGACTAAAAGGTCCCTTGTTATCTTTTGTGTTATGTTATATAATATTTGATTATAAACGGGTGCAACTATTATTAGCCATTGATTTATTCAACATAATTCATTATTAAGATTTAAATGAAATTACCCAGTTGCAAAGATAGAGCAATGTGTTATTGTAAAGAGTTGAATGTGAATGATTATTGTATGTACTTAAATAGATTCTTGGAAAATATACTTCTCAGTGACACTACAGAACAGATAAACTGCATATTGGGTGCTTTACCTTTAAAAACATGGATATCTGAACACATAAGATTTGAATTTACCATCTAAAGAATTTGCATGGCAGTTTTGAAACAAGACTTGGTTTCCCATGCTATAAAGTTACTGGTCCTTCAGAGAGCAATCTAAATTTTTTAGGGGAATGAGCACCAATATATATGATGAATTAGATGTAATAAGGGACCTATTGTGAAGACCAAACATGATTCCTAAGGTTTGGACACAAGTAATGACTTAGAGTTGAAAACTCTAGTGTCATAAATGCTCTATTCCTAACTGTATGTTTTGTGGTTAATGCCAAAGCAAAAATTTTAACTTGGATAGTTTGTCACAAAACCTTGCTAAGTTTTAATAAATTTAATGAATTGGCTGTAAGACATGAATCAAACTAGTATCATAAGCAAGCTGTGTCATGGAAGGCAGATGTCTGAAGAACATATACTGCTGAGCTACTTACTCACTTTAGCACCTGGTTTTAATTCTTTTTTATACTTTCAATTTCTACCAAATAATAAGATTACAATAAAAAGTATACTGATTTGTTGGAAAGGGTTCAAAGAAGGACTACTATGATAATTCTTGGGACAGAGGAGCTTTCATATGAGAACAGGTTAAAATCTTTGAAATTATTTTCTCTTGAGAAAAGAAATGTTAGAGGGGATATTAGAGTGATGTGTTCAAAAACATAAAAGGAATAAATAGGATTGATGCATCATCTGTTTTTATGCTCACTGGTAAGAGTGGTAAACTTAGAAGATATATTTCAAGATTTGGCAGGATAGAAGTGTGCAAATTAGGCAGTTTTATTTTTCAAACAGGATGGTCAGCCTTTAGAGTAGGTTTTTGTCATATGTAAATGTAACAGGATTTGTAAAGTTCAAAAGAAGGCTTTACGAGTACTTGGAGAGTCAGGGCTGGATGCAGACAAAGTGTTTAATGAAATGAATGGGACAACCATGATAGGTGAAGGGTACAGCTGGTGATTAATTGTCATAACCGATAACCTAAGGGCAGCAGTTTCATTGATTAGTGTCATGTAAACTGAGCAGTTAATGGAAATTGTGATTCGTCCAATTAATCAAAATTATTGTTTCTGATTATTATTGTTTTCACTTATTCAAACAGTTGATTAATCAAAATTCCAATTATATCAATTTTCACAAAAATAATCAACTTACTGAAATTAGTGTTTTTGATTATGACTATTTTTAGATTATTCCAAGTATTCAAGTAAACAAAATATTGCTATTATGTTTATTTATTGTAAGCACAAAGCCACATAATTAGCTATATGTTCTTTGCTAATCTTAGCCTTATAAATTTTTGTTTTATCTTATTTCAAGTATGTTCAGTTTCAATACGGTACATACATTCACTCACATAAATAGCTTTACTCATTCAGTGCTGCCCTCTATATTTAAAAAAAATTTCCACATGCCACAGGCCTTAAGCTCTCACATGTCTTAAAATTGATTGATTCAATTGAGTCTTTTTCCTTGATCGTGGGTTATCAGGCTGATTTATGCACTGTTCCACTTATTCCACTTATTACAGATTTCCTCACTTGGCTCTTTGATCAAGGATCTTCTTTATCCTTGATTGTGGGTTATCAGGTTGATTTATGCACACTTTCCATTTTTTCCTGTACCATGAAGTTTTTACCTCTCCTACCTTTTTCCTCTTGTTGTGTTCCTTCTGGATTAGTCGTCCACCTTGTCATGCTGACCTTCTGGATTGGGATGTGAATGTGGTTCTTCACTGCCTCACTTTACCCCCATTTGAACAGTTGTCCTTGTGCTCGATTTTCCACTTATCCCTTAAGACTTATTTCCTTCTCCTCTTAGCCTGTGGACTTCATTGGTTGGATTTATTTGCTGACGACATTTCATGGACTCTTTATCATTTCACATATATTCTCCTTTATCTGGATCGATCTTTCCTCCCTAAAACTTCAGCAGCTTGGGAGGGTCATTTTTCCTTCTCACTGCTTTCCCTTCCTTCAATTTCTCACCTTTATCCTCAGTCGGATCCGGATAGGCTACTATGTCCTGTTTTTGCTCTTTGTTGTTATGTTGCACACATGGCTTCCTTCCATGGTACCCATACCTGCCTGTTCATTCCTTGGCAGACACCTCCTCTGTTTGTGACCTTTCTTCTTCCACCCTGACCAATTGGGTTTGGCTTTTAATTCAATTGGCTTATTCTTCCTCATCATATTCTTCCCATAATTTGTTCCAGGTGTCTTCTCATCAGATTAGGCATCTTACCTTTTCCCTGGTATCTCATCTCCATCGTCCCTTGGAGAAAAATCTTCAGTTGGGCATGCTGACTATTCCTCATATGTTTATATCTCACTATTTGCATCAGATCATTGTTTATTCACAGTCTGGTTATCATCTTCCTCCTGTAGCCATTCTTCAGACTTTGGTACAACTGTGACTGGGTAAGTTATCTTTTATATGTTTCTACTTTTTCTTTTTCAGGGGCTTATCCCTTTTTCCTTTTTACACTGTCTGGATCCTGCTCTGTGGCAGGTGGTGCCTGACCAGGTATACTTATAATGTCAAATCTGCACTGTAAGGCCATTATAACATAACAGCTATAATTTCCACGACCACTAAACACATACTGCAGTGATGGAGTGTTCCACAAGATCACTTGTAGGTTCATTATATTTGCTTTATTAATATGCTCATCTCAGATCATACTCACACATGGACTTTGTGGGTAAAGCAGAATGGGATAGCTGCCCATCCCTACCATGCCTTAGATTGAATAAATCAGATGTGGTCTGCTTTCCAAAATAGGGTTTTTTGTGGTCACCCGTTGTACTGTCTCAGATGTTGTTATTCCTCCAGACTCTCCACCACGATTTTTCTTCCCTTTCTCGTTCAGTGGAGTATGAGAGTCCTTACCACTTTCTAATTCGAAGCCACTGGGGGTAGTGGACCCTGGAGGCATCCTCCTGAATGTGATAATAATCATACAATAAACATATACATTCAAAGTAATTAAAACCATTCAGTTGAGAGTAGGGCGGTGGTGTAGAAGACATGATGTCCTCCACTATATATAATTGGAGTGAGCCATCAAAGTTGCAGTTCAACCCTCCAATTGGGATCCCTCATCCTACTCCCATGTGGAAGTTGATTCCTAGTGGCTGGATTTTGGATTTAGAGCTGAACCAATCAACATAAGTCCTCACACATGTATTACAGATGTCTCTATTTCATCACTCATTTATATTCTTGTTCCTCCATCAGTGTTGTGGGTCATGATGGAGGTACTTGATGATTCATACGGTTCTTCCTCTGATGCTGTCCCTCGATGATTTTATTGTATCAAGGATGTTCTTGTGCTAGGGGTGGTTCCTGTCTATTTGTTTTATGTGAGATGGTTTACATTACAGAGACATCTTTATGATACCAGATGTCGGGTTCCCGGATTGTCAATCGATTTATCATATTATCATGTGTCCTGTTCATAGATGGGGAGGTACTAGGTCCCCTCATCTGATGAACTTGAGGTGAAGGTGATATGATCCTTTATCCTACCCCCACCAGATGGCTGGATTTTGGATTGTAGTTGACTTGCCAACAGTATGATCCTCTTTCCTACCCCTCATGAATGCAATTGACTTGCTGTGTATGGTCTGTCGCACCCTAGCCAATTTACACCTGGAGGCACATCCTTTTACTCTCACCAATATTGATGTACTCTATGGGATTGAGATTTCAATATCATATCATGGTTCTCTCCCTTTTGGATGTGCTCCTCCCAGTTTCTGCCTATGTCTATGACACCTCTTTCCCACACTGGGTGAAGAGCATACCTAGTACAGAAGTGGTGCACTCTCCCACGTATGATCCTCTAATGCGAGGATTTACTCATTTAGGGTGTTCTTTGGTCGCTTTGGAAGGATGCTTCTTTCTTTCCCTTGCACCGGTCCCTCAACCTGTTCAATGTTTTCTAGCTATTTATGTGAGAGGAGGTAATATGCTGTTTCGGAAGATATAATTTTCCTATGCTAAAAATATATTTCCAATAGATACTTACCTCCTCTCAAACTTCCCACCCTTCCTCCCCACTCAAAACTGGTGCTTCAATTTTCTGCCAAAACTCAAAGTGATAGTTCGGTAGAATTGAATAGAGGGAGACACATGCGTCGGGAGAGTGTGTTGCACTCTTATTGGTGGAGGGTTTTCACATGACGATGTGCACGAGAGATGCATTTGAATCAATCGATTGTAAGTCGTGGGAGCTTAAGGCTTGTGGAATGCGGAATTTTGTTTTACATATAAAGGGAAGCACTGAACAAGAACAGTTATTTATGTGAGGTAAGTACCTATTGGAAATATATTTTCAGTATAGAAAAATTATAACTTTTGATAATAGAGGGTGAGGCTCATGATTCAGTTCCAATTGCCACCAGATGTGGTTGTCTTATCTTTGCTATGGTAAAGCTAATAAGGCTATTTGCCACTGTAACTAATTTTGAACTGCTGACTAGAAATAGAGGGAAGACAACTGGCGACATCACCTTCCTCCAGCATTTTTTACTTCTTCAAATGCTGACTAGAGGGAAGGCAACTGACTGGAGCACCTTCCAGGTAACTTTTTTTTTCTTTTGCTTGTATATACCATGGTTTACAGAATACTGTTTTAATCAGTTATTGGGGCCATCAGTTACTTGATTGGCAAATACTACTAATCACCAGATGTAACCAAGAAATCCATTGTTTTCTCTCAAATGTCAAGCTATAAAAACAACCCAATGCACTTCTGTAAGCAAACTCTTTGATTAATTAGCAATTATGTATTAGGAAAACAGGTTTCATTGTGAAAGGTAAGAACTTGATGAATGTTACAAACATTCAAATATATGAACATAAATATGTATGTTGTTAATTTATTTTGTGTTTTAGATTTCAGATCTCCACATCAGTCTGTTTCAAGATTCTGGGAGAATCACAGACTTCAAACAGTTTTGTACAGAAACAGTTAGCACAGTACAACCTGCAGTTGTTCTTGTTACAGGTATGATCACATTGCTTTAAAAAAAATCTGGAAATCTGGTTTAGTGTTACCTGTTATTTTATTTAAAATTGACTAGTAGAACTTTCTTTTTTATATAAACAGATATTTACAATGATTTATGAAGCCAAATGAAATAATAAATATGCATGTAAGTACACTTACATCAGTTGGCATCTGCCAAACCATGAAGAATATTGGTTATTATTTAGCATCTTTTTAATGAGATTCCATATTCAGATTAACTTCATCTTATAGCATAAAAGAGTTTTATGAACCTTTTCACCTGTAGCAGTGAAACAACTTTTATATTCTGGCTAAGAATAATGGAGCTGTTACTACTGGGATTCTTAATAAAATAAATATTTGTTAAAACCTTCATAAAACAGAACATACTCCTAATACAAAAATAATGCTGGGCATGAACATTTAAAAACTACACATCTGAAACTTCAAAATCTTTTAATGGTACAAAATAATTTCGACTAAAGAAGATAACCATGGAACAAGTGAAGCTAGGAAAAAGAATACCAAAGAGCAAAACTAACTTTGGAGGAAATTAGCAAAAAAATCTGCTTAACAATATTTACAGTTAACTAATTACAACTCACAATAATCTAAGAGAGTCATTCATACAGCATCTAGCTCCTTAATGTGTTAAACATCTGGATTCATTTCTCTTTTGTATTTTTGTTTTCCACCTGACAACAAAATTACAATTCAACATTTGCATCAGCTAGTGTCAGTAATTTTGTCTCATTTTTAAAATTAGTGCAAAAAGCTGGGAGTTTTTATTAAAATTACTCAAAAGAAAAATAAACATTAGAAGAAAATCATAAAATATAAACATAATAATTAACAAAAAACAAGGAATACTACTTGATATTCCTCCTCCTTTGCCTGAAGAAATGATGAATTTAATCATTTTGTACATCAATCCCAGTTTACCTACATGCTCTTTTTAATTGCCTGAAATGATATTAGGTGTCAATGGTGGTGTTGTTACAATAAACTCTGGCTCTGACTCTGGTTCAGCTTACCAGAACAATAACAATATGAGAAATATTACAATAAAATATCATTACACTCAATACAAAGAAGAATTCTGGCTCTTTTTCAGCTTACCAAAAGATTATACACCCCTTTTCTCTATTGGAAGTAGCCTCACAAGATATCAGTACAATGATTTGGTCTTAGCACTACTTGGTTTACATTTGATGGAGTATTAGTAGCAATCATTGTAGCATGTGAAGTCTTCCAACCAGCATGGATGTTAGTGGACTGTAGCTCATGAGAAAAAGCACATTTCTTTAAGTTAGATACATAATCATGTGTAACACTACTTTTAGGATATTTTAGTTCATACACTAATGGTATTGCATATCTCACCAGTTTGTAAGGCTCTGTCCATCATGGAGCAAATTTAGTAATAACTGTTTTACTTCTGAGGATATAAGATGAGAATTTAATAAAATATGCCTCCTACTTGATTCATATCTAACCAACTTCTGTAGTTGTAAACTTGTCTTTGTCATTTCTCGGCTGCTTCTACATTGCAACTAGCTTTCTGCATAGTGTTTTTTAGTTCCACAGTGCATTTTTCAACAGTCTTGGGCTTTTTTGGGTATTTGGTTGAGCAATCCAAAGGCAGAGAGATTTTATGCCCAAATGTAGGTTGGCTGGTTTAAAACCCGTTTATTCAAAAATGGGAATTTTAATAATAAAAGAAAGTTAGGGAAATGATCATCCCATGTTTTGTCATTTTTGTGTTCAACTGAGGATAAGTGATAATGAATATATAATTAATTCCAGTTGCTTTACATGCTTCTGCTATTAGATGAGAAATAAATTTTGGTCCATTGTCATTGAATAAAGTTTTGGAAAAGCCATATTTTATGTAGAAGTACTCATTTACTAGCTTTTTTACAACATTTGTGTCTATTCATTTAAATGGATACAGTTCACTATTTACTCAAATAGTCTGGCACAACTAGTAAGCAACTATTTCTAGCACTTGATTTGGGGTAAGATCCCATTAAATCAATACATACAAACTCATCAGGGTAAGATGCTTTAGATCTCTCCATTAGATGTATCACATTTTTTTAAATCAAATTTTGTAGCCTCGCTGCTTGTGATGGAACATAATTTTCAATGTGTTTTAGCATTCCAGGTTTATAGCCCTTACTACTATTTTGTTGTTTTTCTTATTCCTAAATGACCAGCTGTTGGATGTTCCTATAATTCAACTAATCTTAAAGTCTTAGGAATAAAAGATTTAAATTAATCATTATTTGCAACTGTTTTTATATAATACAACACGTCGAAGCTGAAAATATAATGTCATGATTTGCCAGTTGTTTTTACAGCTAATGTGGGATCAACAGGTAAATCTCCTTTTTTTTTAACATTCTAATTCTGTTCTTGTATAGTTCCTCTTGGTTGACTTGAATGTTCTGTTTGCATAAGCAATTACACCTCTCTGTATAGGACTTTATCCAGTCCAAGTATTGAAGCATTTGTATGGCAATAATAATGTTCACCTTTCTGCAGAAACTGAAGTATTGGATCTCGTTTTAAACCCTGCTTTAATTTCAAGAAAGCATTTTCACACACTGAAGTCCAGTTCCATTCCATCTGCTTTTCTTTCTTCATAGCTGATATAAAGGCTCAGCAATTGTGGAAACTCTCAGTACAAATTTGTTATACAAGCTGCACATTTCCAAGAAAGTACTCAATTCTTTACAATTCATTTGAATGGAAGTGACTCAACAGCTTTTTTTTAAAATTGTTAGGATTTGTGTGTGTGTGTGTGTATTCCTTCAGTGTTATCTTAAAGTCTAAGAAAGATATTTCTGGTTTGCAAAATTCACTTTTACTAATTTTAAAATTTAAGGCTGCTTTCTGAAGTCTATAAAACATGAAGGTCTTTTATATGCTATTCAAAAATTGATTAAGTATTACATCATAAAGTTACTAGGTGACAGTACAAAAAAACCCATAGGTATGCTTACAATACTGAAATAACATTATCTTTTAAAAACAATGGGACAATATGGCTAAGTGTGACATTAAAACAAAGGATGTATTTGGCCAGATAAATCCTTTTGTATTAAGGTTAAAACTAGTCTGTCCTTTTCGCTCCATCCCCACCTTGTTGCTTCTCTCACTCATTTTTAAAATGCTTGCAAACCTTTTGCAGCATATTGTAAAAGTGTTTGAATCTTTTCACTTTTTTACTTAATGAAACTTATATCATAATAATAATAATTAACAAAAACAGTGTACTGCCTCATTGAACAAGTTGGGTACAATAAAAAAGTAGCACATGGATCAGTCATCTGAACTTGCTAACACCAAAAGAGCACTACTTAATACTGTACATATAGCATACATAAGTACTTTATGTGGAAATATAATTGTAGAAGACAAGGATAAGTTGCTGTACATTAAACACAAAAGATATTCAAATACCAAAAACAGTGTCAGGAATTTAGGTATGGGCCAGATTCTTTACAGACTTGTTGGCAATACATTTCAACAATAAACAAACAGCAATACAGTCCACTTGTTTTAAAATAATATATTAAAATAAGTCAAATGTATATGTTCATTACACTGTTGGTTACTACAGTTGTATCCAGAGCTTTAAATAATTCTCTCTCTTTTTTATTTTCATCAAAGTCCACACAGGCTGGTTCAATGACTTTAGAACACAATTGACCAGAAGTATTCTTCTTCTCTACTTTGTTATTACAATACAATCTGGGATAATTTTACTTTAGAAATCACACAGTCTAGATCTATCTTACAAACTAAATTTTTGATGTGTATTTATACCTCAACAAAGGTCTAGAACATTCCACACCTTACTAGATATTATGATGCAGTAATACTCAATCAAAACAATGAGAAAATCTCGGAAAGTTCTAATAATATGATGCAAAAATTGTAATATAACGATCATCAATTCATAACTATTAAACTACACAACATAGGATTTGTAAACAGTTGCATAAAAAACTTGCGATAAACTATTGCTTCTAAAAATAACTAAATTTAACACTCATGCTATATAAACTATTTAAATCATAACACTCGCATTAAATTTGAACAGAAACAGTTGTGTATATCTAAGAAACAGCTTCTATAAGTATTATAATGATAAATGCCTAAAAAATACTAAAATAATTACGAGAGTCCAAAAATTAAAGTAATGTTATTTTAATCATAAATGATATTACCAAAGAAGAAGCTTTCATAAGAACTGATAAGCTTGTATCTGTAGCTTATTTTTGCATTTTAATGATTCAGTTACTAAATTAGTGATGGCAGTATATAATCTTAGTAGCTTTGTCATAAACAAACTAATTTATTAGTTGTTCACTGTATGCAGATGCATTCTCTTTTTTTAAATGTATTTTTCAAGTGGTTTTATTTTCGTAGGCTTCAAATTATTGTATTATTCTGATAACTTAATTCTACGTATTTTGAAAATATTATACCTAACTTGGCAATAAGAAAAGTTATTTTAAAAATATTTTTAATTAAGTTGTAAAAAAGAGAGTGCCACATTAGTCTAAAACTATTTATATATCTACTGTGTAAATGTGTAATTCATTTTTAAAACTAATTTTTAGGTACAAAAAACAAGTGAACACCACTGACTACATCTGTAGTCATTTCCAAATTATTTCATCAACAACACTAATGCTTAAATGTTTTCATATTGTTTTATTTCAAATATGAAATTGCTTTAGTTGGGTTCTTGTGTTCTTAATTAATGGAAATTTAAAGAAAAAACATTTAAATGAAATCACACTAGTAAGCATAATAATTCCATGGTTCTAATTAACCCAAACTCCCAGGTCCTGTATGCACAATAATTTTTAAGTTTTAAGTTCTTAATTTTATGAGGAAATATTTTTAAAAAATTCTCAATATCCCTAAGTATGAGAACTGTGACATTTGCTATCTATGTCTTCTCTAATGTTTCTACCACCCCTCCAAGAGGTATGAAATTTAATGTAAATTACTCATTATATTGTTTTCATCACTCAGGCAAATTTACATAGCCTTCAATCTTATTTAGTTACAGAGAAATAAAATAGAAAATCAGACCCCTCTTGCCCTGCCCAACTGTCACATTTTTTCTTTGAGAACTTGCCAATAGTTCTCTCTGACATTTAAGACTATATTATTTATAACCAATGGAAAGCCAAATTGTTTCGCCATCAAATTAACTATTATATTATGTTGTTGTCTGTGCAAAGAATTGTCTATTTTCCTTCCAGTTCAAACTTTATTCCTACGGGACACACATCGATGAGGTTATCTGAATTTTTTATGAATTTTGTCATACAGTTAGAAAGCCAGAAAAACTATGATAGTTATGGAACATTTATTTCCTTTTTACATGTTATTATTCTGTGTTCTTTAGTGTATTATTTAATGCAGTATAAAAAAGTAGGGTGAGGTTTCATTGACAGTCGAGAGAAAAAATAAGGTTAAGTACTTTATTTCTTGTTTTTCATATGTATTCTTTTTTTATTATTATAAAAGTAACTAAAAATCTAAAACTTAAACTTTTTAGGTTAGATAAAATGAAATAAATAATAATATTAATAATAATAATTTTTTATGAAGTATGCTTGTGAGTAGTCCATGTGTTCTATAATTTGATATAATGTGAGTTGCATGTTTGCCACGTGATTTGCAATTTATATGGCACAAATAGACCGGTTCAAAGGGTAAAACAATTAAATTTAAATATAAATAGATGTATACTGTTGCAAGCTTTAAGCTACTTAGGATAAACAATTGTGTTTTTCTGTTACAATTTGCATTCCATAAAGAAAACATGGAAAACTGAGAATTATTTCTTAATTTTTTTTATCATGATAACAACTTTACACTCATAATGAGAAACAATATGCAGTATAGATTATAAATAAAGTTTCCGATACGGTACATTGCCTCCTCTCAAATAAATAGCTATTGTCATTCAGTGCTGCTTTCTGTATGCAAAAATGTTTTTATGCATGCCACAAGCATTGTATCTCCCTTCTATTGGAATTGACTGATTCCAATGCATCTCTCTTGCAAGTCATCATATGTCAACCCTCCACCAATAATAGTGCGACATACTCTCAGGACGCATGAGACTCTCTCTATTCAATTCTACCAAACTATTACTTCACCTTTGGCAATACTCGTGTTCAGACGTTTTTTCTTTTGGTGCTCTTCATGTGCATTGTGATTTTAATAGTTTAATTTTCAAAGTGGGATTTCTTCGTTATTAATTAAACTTCCCAGTCTTTATTTTACTCTCACACTCACATATTTTACAACAAACACTTTTTGTTTGATTTATGTATTTTCTGTGATTCCTTATTACCTCCATGTTGGCTCATTTGTCATCTTCAGCTCTTGCTTTATACACATGGTTTCACTGTAGTTGGGATTTTCTGATTGCGATGAGACCTTGTTCCTAGAACATTTGCTGCCACATTCTTCTGGGAATGTCTGTATCTTTTCTTTGGTGATATGTTTTTGATCATTTATCTGAGACTTTGGAATCTTGTGTAATCTGTGCATCAGCACTCGACCTTTCCTCTTTGTTTGCATGTTTGTCGCAGTTGGAGCCACAACATGCCCTATTCTTTTCCTGGCCTGGTTCTTATCTATCTGTCCCCTTCCAGGGGTTTCTCATCTTGCTGTTTTATATAACATTGATGGGCATGTTGCCAATGGTATCAGAGACTAACCAGAGGGTTTTGGTTCAGTGGGAGCTTGACTATAAAATATTGTTACCTTTTGATGATCTTTCACTACAGTTCCATGGGTTCTTTGGATTTTATCAGAGGGACTTATCCTACTATTTCTTTCCCCACTTCCTTTGTCCCTGATATCCTTTTCCTTCCCAAGACTTAGGATCCTGCCACCAGCCTGCATCTGTCTGAGGAGGTACAAGATTTTTTGTCTCTACAGGCTGTTGCACATGTTCATCATATTTCTCCAGGCTTTTATTCCAGGCTGTTTGTTGTCCTCATGCCAAACTGGAGACTGGTGGCCTGTACTAGGTTTGTTCCACCTCATTCTAATTTTCAACCTGCCCCATTTTACCTTGGGATTGTATCTTACCCTTAGGTGGGCTTTTTCTCCAGGTTTATTGATGACAAAGAGGAAGATCGTGAATGCTTATTTGCATATCCCAATATTTTATCACTCGCGGCTCTCTCTTCAGTTCTCAGTCATGCAAATTTCCTCTCATGACTTTTGAATCGGGGGTATTCTGTCTCCTTGTTCTCGGATCTTTGAGCAGTCCTGTCCCACACCTTTTGTTTTTCCTGATCCCTACACATTTATCTATCGTCTCATTCTCCAGATGATTTCATTTATTCTTGACACTCTGTGTTCAGTCCTTCTGATAGTTCTTTCCTAGCCATCTCATCTGTGGTTTCCGCAGCTTCTTCAGCTCCAACTTCCTCCTCCATTACTATTTCCTCTGTCTCTGTCCCTTCTTCACCACCCTCAGTCACCGGTGTTTCATCCAGACCTTCCTGTCCTCTGTCTTCATGCCTGGTTTTCCTCTGGTCATTGGTGAGGTGATTTGGCTTCTCCCAATGGTTACCCTCTTTTCTGGCTTGTTTCATTCGCCCTTCCTACATAGAAGTTTCTCAATGCAAATAGAATTTTTATAATTTCTGGTATTGAGTTTCATAAATATTGCATGGTTCGGATCACTTTCCAGCCCTAGTTCTTTCCAAATTGGATGTGCTCCTCTGTTTTCTGCCCATATATGCAACACCTTTCTACGATGGGTGAAAAGTATACCTGGTTCAGAAGTGGTGTGGTTTCCCGACATCCGATCTTAGAATCTGACTGTCTCATCTTAAGGATGCTTCTATCTTTCCCTCACTGTCCCCCACCCCACCCCATTCATTGTGGGATTCTAGTAGCTATTTATGTGAGAGGAGGTAAGTACCTATTGGAAATAAATTTTCAGTGTAGGAAAATTATAACTTTTCATTGAACATTAACATGCTCTTTTCCATTTGCAGAAGCTAAACATGTACTGTACATTTTTAAATAAAGTTTTTCATTGACACTGAAGTGCTTTTTTTCTCTTTTTTTTTGAGTTTATTAAATTAGACCTATGAGGACCCTTGAAAAAAAAAACTCAGAGTTCAGGACCCTTTACTGTGGGACCCTAGTGAGAACCCTGAATTCCCTTTCACAGCTTCTGTCATATCTGGACATAATCCAGTTTGGGTGATAATCATGTAATTGACCCATATGACTCTGACATTTCCTTTTCTTACTTTTAAAGGAAATACAAAAATTGTATAAGAATTAATGTGAAATTCAGTTTTGTGTAAGCACAGAAACTTATACCATATTTTCATAATTTATAATCCATACTGTTTTTAGGAATCTGGGAATTAACATCTTTATTACAGGAGATCTTACCCATGCCATAAACCCAGGTACTATTGGATCACAAGAATACAAGGAAGAGTGGAAAATCTACTCCCAAATAATTCATGAAAGTGGAGTGTTTGGGAAGACAAAATGGTTAGACATACGTGGCAATCATGGTAAGGCAATCTGTTGAATTTTGTTTTTATTGAATGGAATATGTGTGATTGCTTTAATCACCTCTTTATTAAAAAAAATCATTACATGTGATGAAATATCCCAATGTGTAATGATGTTTTTTTGTAAGTTCTGTTTATGTAGACTTCTCTGTTACATACCAGAACCAGAAACCTCAGATGGACACATTTGGGGGTTGTAGCTGCATGATCAAGGCTGAGTTGCCTCTACCTCTTGTCCTCTTAAGATAAGTGCAATGTACTTCTTCACACACAGCCAGAATATCAGACATAGTTGAAAGTCTGTACAATAGTTCCAATAATGGAAGCTTTGTATCTGTAGTAGTATTAGAATTAGCATTATACTTGTAAGAAAATACAAATAGTGATAACTGTGTATGGAAGTTAATATTAAAGAGATATTTCTACCTTACTTCACTTGTAGCATTATTTCTTCTTTTTATAAAATTACTTTAGTACAAAGCAAAGTGCTGTTACTGAGTTACTTTGAAATATATTCTGTTTTGGCAAAAAATAACTGTAGTATAGGTCTATAATACATTTGTATTGGTTTATTTGAATCCAAATATGCAAACTTAAAGGAAGTATAAAAACATAGATAAATAATTAACTTCAAATTAGACTTGATTAGTTTAAGCTCTGGAGAATTACATTTTAAAATTATTCTTTTAGTTGTTAAAACTTGGTTTTACCACTACTATGTAGTGAAACACTGAACTGTACATTATTAGAAAACTGCCTTATATGCTTTTCACCTTATGTGCTTTACACCCTTTACAGTGGACTTTCTGTTCGTGTATTCTTTGAAGTTGAATCGTTAATGCATTTAATAGGTACAAAATATTGACCTGCTACTTATGCATGATGTTCTATATACAAAGTTTACCTCTTCGTTTTTTTAACAATTAGTAATGTATTATTGATTAAATATTAGGCTTAACAGTAACAGTGTTTACAATAGGCTACTGGTATTTGGTATTGAGTATTTATTTCCAGGCTTTAAATATAAATACAATGGTTAAGGTTAAGACTAGTGTAGGAATTAAGCATTCACAGTTTGTTAGGTGTAATAAGTGCAATGAGTGGATTTTATTTGGGAACTTGGGACTGGCATGTACTTTTAAGGAAGCTAGTAGTGAAGATATGCAGCTTGTATGTAGAGTTTGTAGGTTGGAGGAAAAGTTGAAGGCTATCCTAATTAAAGTAGAGGTGATAGCTAAAGAGAAGTGTAGACTGTGGGAAATGGCAGCAGGATTTAAAGAGGAGCTTAAACTTTTACATGCAAGGAATACATCAGCTAACAATGACTTTCAGGAAGTTAGAAAGAGTACTATTAAGGCTAAAAGTAGTGGATTTAATTGTAAATAGCCTATTTTACTGAGCAAGAGGTTTCAGCCCTTGGTTTCTTCAGACAAGGAACTATTGGAGGGAAGGAAAACAAAAGGGACAGAGAAGGATATGGATGATAAACTTAAGAAGGTTATGGTTATAGGTGATTCCTTGATAAGTCATGTGGATAGGATAATCTGTGGGGTAAATAGGGAGAAAGGAATTAGATTATGCTACCCAGGGGCACAGGTGGAGGATATAACTGACAGATGACAGAGCAGGAGATATAATAAAGGGGGCTAGCAGAGATGCAGTTTTTGTTGTGCATGTAGGGGGCTAATGATGTAGGGAACGATAGGTCAGAGGACCTAATTAAAAAGTACAATGGGTTGATAAAGGCATTCAAAACAAACAGCCATAACTTAATTTTGTCAGAGGATACTGCTTAGAATTAACTGTGGGATGAAGTTATAAGTAAGTCACTAGGGCTAAATGATAGGCTTAGGTTAATATGCAAGGATGAGCAGAGTGGCTGGTTGGACTTGTGAGATCAGTTTGATAGAAGAAGGGAACTTTTTGGAATGGATGGTTTGCATTTAAATAGGATATGGGGCTGGCTTGTTTGCTAGGGCTATTAACTCAGCTGTAAGGGAAGTTTTAAACCAGGACTAGACAGTGGTGAGGGCCAGGATAAAGTAAATGCAAAAAATAATAAGAGGCAGAGAAAAGTTTAGCATAGGAAATATGTATAGAAGTAGTTATAAGGATAGACTTAATTGATACTATTGTAATGCTAAAAGTATAAGAAATAAGATAGATGACTTTAGAGCATAGGTAGGAATGGAGGATTTGGATATAATGGGAATAACTGAAACATGGTTAAACACAGATGATTTTAATGACAGAAATTTCATTGAAATACAGGGTTACTGGCTATTTAATAGAGATATATTATAAAGAGAGGGGGAGGAGTGGCTTTATATGTAAAATGTGAGTTACATCCTGTTTAAGTTGAGGATATCAAAGATAATAGCAAGGAGATTGAATCCATTTGGGTTTCTATTATCAGATATAAAGGGAAGAGGCTTTTAGTGAGAAGTTCTTACCGACCACCAGATGATACTGATGAAATTAACGAGAAACTTCACAATGAGATTAAGAATTCAACTGTTAATTAAGTCATAATTATGGATGATTTTAATTTCAGGCATATAGATTGGGAAATGCTAGAGAAATGTTTTTGGTGTTTATACACAAATTAGTCAAGAAACCAGTAGAAACAATGATATTTTAGATTTATTGTTAACTTCAAATATATAAATGATTGAGAAGGTGGAAATTGGGGAACATGTGGGTGCAAGTGATCATTGTTCTATAAGGTCCAATATTCTGATATGATACATTACCTCTTCTCACATAAATAGCTATTCTTGTTCAGTGCTGCCCTCTATATGTCAAATTTTTCTTTTGCATAACACAAACCTTGAGCTCCTACGTAACTTATGATGAACATGGTTCAACTGCATCTCGCATGTAAATCATCATGAGATAACCCTCCACCAATAGGAGGGCAACACACCCTCCTGATGCATGTGACTCCCTCTATTCAATTCTATCGAAGTATCACTTCTTGTTTGGCAGTACTCATGTCAAGATGATTTGTATTGTGCTCTTTTTTTTTGCAATTCATTATGAAGTGGAATTGTTCTTTTCAATTTTAGAAAAGTTCTTAAACTTCTTCATTTTCTTTATTTTATTTTATTTTATTCTAACACTGTTGTGTTTGATAATTCATTGTTAACAATGAATTCCAAAGTCCAAATTACCACTTTGGAGGTAACACCTTCTACCAGCACACTTACACAGGCAGCAAGTGGGAGTAACTCAGCAATGGAACCATTGGCTCTCATCTGCCATGACTGGATCATTATATGAGTCAACCAGCTTCTCCTGATGTTGCCCATAATCCTCCATAACATTAAGAACCTGTTCAGGTTGACGAGGAATTTGACAGCCTTTTTCCACCACTTGATTTTGACGTGTCATCCTATGCCTCTACTGCAGAATCAGCTAGACCTAATATGGCCTTTTTAGACATAATTTGTCAGGTTTGTTCTGTTTTATCTATTTCCCAGGTTTATTATAATCCCCTTCCTTCTTTGTTACATGATACCCCCCTTCTTCTTGGTATTTTGTGTGCCTGCCCCCTTCCTTGGATATTAGGGTTCATAATGAACATTTTATCACTCATATAGTTGAGGGTGCTAGCATGCCTTGCACTCCAAGTCTTCGCTTCAGTTTGCTTTAGCCTATCATCAGACTGAATTTCAGTTTCTTGATTCTCAACAGTTGAAATCGATTTTGCCCATGTGGGAGAGTGGACCATGATCATTTACCCCCAGCCCAGTTTTCCCACTTTCATCTTACCCTATCAAATCTCCCATGGTACTTGTCTACTATCCACCTTTCTGAGGTGCTCTACCAAGATCCTGAGGGTTCTTCAAGGGATAACCTCTCCCTGATTACCTAATCGTTAGCACATTTGTCTTTTTGATAGGATCTTCTAATGAGGGATGCTGTATTGTCCAAAGTTCGTTTACCACCTACTTATCTCCGGGGCTTACGTATGGTCTCTTTTCTCCAGCAATCTGTTTTCAGAAATATTCTTGATACTTTAGAATTCCTTGTTGAATTGGTGCAACAGAAATCAACCCTTTCATTTTTAGTTGATTGTTTGTCTCATTCAGAGCCTAAACAAGCCCCTATTACTGTTTCCCATCCTGCTCCTTCCAAGCTCCTATCGTCATATTATTTGAAGCAGATGGACACATCATCATCAGAACTGGTGACTACCCAGTGGGTTCCCCTTCCATTGAGGGCTTGCTTGACCAATTTTGTTCCCCTATGGTGAGTTTTCACCACAGATCTGTGGGTTATTTGGGTATTACCCACTTCCTTTCCCTTCCTCCATTGTCTCGTATCCTTTCTGTTGCCTCAGGATCCTACCACCTGTCAATATCTGTCCCAGGTGGTACAAAAGCCATTGAACCTGTAACTCGTCCTGCTCCAGGCTTTTATTCCAAGTTGTTTGTGGTACCCGAGAAAACTAGGGGCTGGCAGCTCTTCATCGGTCTGATTGTACATTGGTCAGACCCGATGATGTTCATTATGAGATGTTGCACCATCTCTCACCTGCCTCTCTTACTATTCTCCTGGTTATTTTTAACCGGATCTGGCAGGAGCACATTTTTGTTGATTCTTGGTGTCAGGCTATTGTCCTCCCTTTCTCTAAACCTGGGAAGGATCCCAAGATTCCTTCAAATTATCATCCCATTGCTTTGACTAGTTGTCTTTGTAAGGTCCTAGAGAGGATGGTTGATGCTCGTCTTGTTTGGTTCCTTGAATCGACAGCGTTGGGTTCCGTCGACAGCGCTCCACTATGGACCATCTGATTCAACTTGAAATGTCGATCAGGGAAGCCTTTCTCAAGAGAGAACACCTTGTTTCTGTGTTCTTCGATCTCCAGAAGGCTTATGACACCACGTGGAGGTATGGAATTTTGCAGGACCTCCACTCCTATGGGTTGCGTGGCCATCTACCCATTTTTATTAAAAACTTTTTACTGAACAGGCGATTCCAAGTCCGTGTGGGTT